TCAAAATTAGCAAGACCCCCTTGGCTATAGTAGACGGAGGAGCCAAATTCCATATCTTTCTCTCACTCGGAGAGGAATTATGGAGAAAACTACCAAAAAAGTCTGGGAATATGGAATTAACCGAACAGAGAGCAACAACCATGAGTCGATGGGAATTGTTGGACGTTACTTTTCAGTCCCAGGCATGTGGCATTCGATGTTATCACGCTTAATACTCACGTTGTAATCACGACAAACAAATGAGAAGAAAACCAGGCGAAACTCTTCATGCTACTTCAAGAGGCATAGCACAGGTATGCACTTTAGGCACAACGGATGACCGATTGCTTTGGTTAATGAAGGAGACACTAGATACGACCAATGCTTAGCACTGACGAAAAACTGGAAAAACGAGAAACAAGCAGGACTAAAAAATACATGACAAAATGATGTATTGCTGAAAGGTTTTACACGAAAGTCGAGATTTTGAAAGTAAACGAAATCATAATCAAAGACAAGTTGTTAACAAACCGTCATCCAGAGGCTGCGCATCAAAAAAATCCAGACAAGGTACTATGGCCTAAACGACATGCCAGCCATCTTCTAACACACTCTCAGGATAACGAGGTACATACTGTTTTCTAGGCGACATCCTCATGGTAACCAAATATACAAATCAGAACACATTTTGACAGTCAAAATGTCTAGTACGACTGGATTCGGAAAAATTTTTCCGTTAAAGGCCAAAAGAATGCAAAAACTTTCTGTTTTAAAAAATATCTCGATCGATGGTAAAATAGAAACGATAGCAATCGTATCCACACCAAAAAATTGTGAGAAACTTCGTTCGTATATGAGAGCCATACAATATTTTGTAAAGTTTTTGCTAAGGATGGCTCAAGATACTATAGCGCTTCGTTTTCTTGCTCAAGAGTGACGAAAACTTTCTTTGGTTAGGTTACACACGAACTGAAAACGAAAGTTGCACAAATCGTGTTACAAAACTACTTCGAGCAAATTAAAATTACCAGGATTGTCTGAGATGCATTGCATGACGGCCTTGGTTGCGCAAGGAAACAAAACACCGTTTCCAGTTGAAATGCATTTCATTAATCATCCCGATAATCTAACAAAAAAAATCTGTTGACAAATTAGAAAGTTTTTCTTAATACCTATCTTGAAAAAATTTACTGTGGTTAATGATGGTGGAGCCTTATTGAATATTCTTACAGGAAACGGGTAGAATAATATTTTTGCAGACTCACAAGATGGATAAACAGGTCAATTCGTTTTGATTTTGAGCTTGATTTTAAATAGGTTTTGTAGATTATCTGTCTAGAGATTCATTTCAAAAAAGTCTAAGCCAGCAAAAATTATGATGAAATTATTGTAGCTCATTTTGAATTAATTACCAACGGCATACGCAAAAAAAACTAGGGAAATATGCTCATAGTAATATTCTTGAACATTCAGTATTCTAGAACATTTGCGAACTCGCAAGTGATGTATCAATGCAAGGAGAACATACTGGTAATGTAAGCACACGCTTTTTCTGGTATCGATATTTCTAAACTCGAAACTCGGCAAAATACATTGATAGGAGTTGGAGTGGCAGCAACTTTCAAACATGAAACATAGATAATCAAAACTGTCGAAAAACGATCTCACTTAACAATTGGAGGTCATGAATCATAGAGACAGGATAGAGAAAAGACCGAGAAGAGGTATACCCGGAGAAAGCAAAAAAAACCATGCCGTTAAGGATACAAACAGATAATTTGACAGTCATCCTGATTGCCGAGTATGACAGCGACAATCCAATAAAACTGAACAAAAACGAAAACAGGGACTAGTTTGTTCTGCTGATACCATCCGACTCTGAATCGGAAGCACAAGAGGAAGTCACCCAAACCGACAATTTAGAAATAACAGTTTCAACCGGAACTGACAAAACAGGCACCGAATATTGAGAGAACAGCGGGACTGCATTTTGGCAGAAGACGAGCATACATGTAAGATGATGTGCAACTACTACCACTAGCATTGGAGGAACTATCACTTGGAAAAGGGAATAATATAAGTGGAGTAGAAAATGTCTATACAATAAATTCTTAGAAATTGATGTGTCGACGTCTTGCACGCTACTCACCCCGGTCAAAAAAATGGGAAAAAATCAATTTCGAAGCGGATATGGTTGCCTCAATCCCTCATTAACAAAGCCGGGGAATGCAATTCCTGAAACACGAAGAAGCCCAGGAGTTCCACGATAGGTAAAAACCTCATTCTTGAATTTAAAAACTGATTGGAAATCTCTAAAAAAGTGGATCAACCAAACGAAGGAATCCATATAGATTTTGACGGACCGATACATAAGGAAATTGGAAAATTAGCTACAGATCGCTTCTCAAAATTTTATACGGTTAAAGTTTCCAACCATGCTAACGCCAGAAACGCTTTAAAGTTTTTACAACAAGAGTGATAAGTAACTCCGCGCGCTATTCGAAACGACCAAGCCTTTTTGTGTAACATGGGAGGCAATAACCGAACCCTGCGAGCACAATAACATCGACCTACTTGTTGCTTCAGCAAACAACCACTTTATTATAGGGTTGGTGGAACGGTTCACAATACTTGTTATTATGCATGAAGGAAGACATATAAGAATTCTTCAAATCTAATCACCCATTTTACAAAATATTTGCCTCCATTAGAACAGAAAAAACACAGGAATATTGGGCTAAAACCTCCCCCACTCCTCCCCCCCGCCTCCATCTAAAACCTCCCTACCCCATCCTTGACCACCAGAACCAACATCCCTCTCCCCACACCTGAACAAAAACCAAGTCCCGCCCCCCGCTGGAACAAACCCCATCTGAACCGCAAACACCTTACCAATCCTCACCCCACCACTTGAACGGCCCGCCTAACAGGTTTAAGAAACATTGTTAATGCGCTAATTGTGAATCCGCTAAAGATTTGTTTTTTCTTTAACAAAATTTTCTATCCTGAGATGAGTTTCGAGTACTGTTTTTGCTTACGGTTAAACTTATCCTGCAATCATGTTAAAAAAGTGAATCGCAGTCTATATCCTAGAGTTCGGGTATCTAGGATAAAGTCCATAAATCCCTCGCCACACAATGATTCATCACTGACACCTTGCCGAGTTAAATTGTAAAAACACCCGCATCTAAGAAAAATGGAAACAAGGTGTTGGATTTTTGTGGTCTAAAATGTTATCAATATGATCGACTCGCATGTTTCTCTCGGACAACAAAAAGGAACGGAAAGTCAATTATAATCCATTGTTTATAATCAAATTTAAAGTTAATTAAAATCCGTTTAAAATCGATTAAAAGCTTTTCGTTCCACCTTAAATTCGCCAAATTTTGGCAGAATGTTTGCATTTATCAAAAAAGCTTGCGAAAAAATTGCAAAATGATTGTAGGGACTACTCGATTTCTAAACCTAAAGCATCGCAGATTGCTAATAGATTCCGTTAACTTCTTCCCACTGGGGTTTGTCCTTTTACCCCCTTGTAAACCTCCCACCGAACCAGAACCGCCCTTCCCCACATCTGACTACCAGAACCACCGCCTCCCTAACTTGAACCCTCCCCCATCCCTCAATAAAGTCAACCCTGTCTGAACCACAATCCTCCAAACCAATCCCCACGCGACTTGAACCACCCGTCCCAACTTGAAACCATCCTGGGTATGGGAAAGAGGTTTTTTTTCCGGTGGGAGAGTGAGTTCAGGTGGCCTCGTGTTTGTGTGTGTGGGTCACGTTTCAGAAATATGTTGAAATGAAGAGAATTGCGAAATTGAGTAACTTGAAAGCAGTAAAAAAAACAAAAGTTGCGCAGAAAAAGTTGAAATGGACCAACAAGTAACCAATTTTTAAAACGTGGAAAACGTGTTGTATGACTGAAATTCGCGTCTCAAAAAAGTGGAAAAAACCGGTTATTTGGAGTTTCATAGTTTTTATCTATGAAGTGAAAATTAATCGATTATAATTGATTTGCAATAGATTTTAATACTTTTCAAATAATAGAAAATAATTGTTTTTTATTTGATACTAAATGATTATTTTTCACTTTTTAGGGACACTGAAGAAAAACTTAAACTTGATCATTATTTATTGATGGAACTCCAGTACGGCAGCGGCACTAATCAGAGCTTGGTAATCGATTCCAATTTACGCAAATATCCCGCTTAAGATCTGAGTTGGTAGTGAGTAGTTTGCAAAACCCGGACCAGCACAGTTTATCCAAGTGAGACAAATCGCGCTTTTTTCTCGTCGCTTAGTTTTTTTGATACAAACTTGCAAATTTAAAAAAGAAGAACAAAAAGTTTGTTATTTTAATTCCTGTTATACTTACATTATCATTTGAGAGTTCTTTTGCAGTATTGATTTGGCAGCTTTGAATTTTCAGGAACAGAACAACTGGCTTTTCTTTTCAATGTTTCTAGTTGAAGTTCTCAGCTTTCCATTTTTCGTAAACTCGTTTTGATACTTATGTTTTTTTGCTGCTTTGAAACGACTTCTCTCTCAGTTAGAAAAACTAAGACCCACAAAAACATGTGAAAACGGACGAAGTCAAACCATCAAATGGTTTCAAGGCTGTTTGCAAAATATGTCAGGCATATGTCGAATCTTTATCAGTTATTGACTGGCATTACTTGTGGGGTTGCCTTTTCAACAAATCATATTCAAGATTCCAAACATTTTTCAGAAAACTTTTTGGGTGCATAAAACATGCAGTGTAGAAAAGGAACAAAAAGCAATTTTGAAAATAAAATTTGCAGTACTATTTCTTGCACTAAAAGTCTGCCGAACTTTATAGTGCGATGCGCAAATCAAAAATCGATGTTATTAATGTGACTGACTCGAATAACTTTTTTGAAGATCCATCGAGCACTTACGATCGTCTCAAATTAGCATTGACTATGGTGTTCACCTAATCGATTTTTGCGTTAATTATTTCTTACATTTATGAAAATTAGACATTTGTTTTCAGTGAAAGAATGGGTTTTGATAAATGCATGAAAGAGGGCGAAAATCTAGAGCAAAAGGATGTCGAGAACAAATCTCCAGCCTTGGTTGAAAAATGGTTAGATAAAAGCTATGACGCATATTGCAATGCAGCTTTGGCGGCTATGAGTCGTACACAGAAAGAGAAAGCCCTTGCGTGCATACAGAGGTCACTAGAAAGAAAACGGGTCTTTTACGCTGACAACCCGAGGAGGTGCAGCGACATAAACGGGGTGAAACTAAGGAACATATCGAAAATGTTTTACTGGATGAGCTATCTGCAACTGGTTTCCGATGAAAGAGTTTCGGATTTTGAACATTTATCGGACAAGATTGATTTGTTGGTGGACGACTTCGAGGCGGCAGCTCCTGAATTGAGCAGGGACTCAATTCTTTCTGCTATGGCTGAAGGTAAGCTGAAATTATTTTCCAGAAAAGCAAAAAATGGTTCGCAACTATCACAGATGGTAGCAATCAACTTGATATAAACATGAAAAAAGAAAAATTAAGGAACAATTATTTCAAAAAACGGTCTCCAATTTTATTTTGGCGAAGTACGGTTGATTTAAGCAGGAATTGCTCAATCAAATTCAGGGTAAAATTGTAGTAAAACTTAACTGAGAGTTCATGTTTGAAGTAGAAATTAATTGTTAATTAAAATGAGATGACTTTTAATATAGAATCCAAATTAATACAAACATTTTTGTTTTAATTCCCATGAGATATACAAAAAAATGTCGGCGTTATGTCAAAGGTCTGACCAATCTGGAGTGAATTTTAAATATAACGCTGGCCTCCAACAGCAAAACCTGTCCCAATTCAATTATTTAAAATAAACAGCAAAATTTGTCCTAATTCAATTGTTTAAAAACATAAATTGAAGTTAATTAGTTCACATAATATGGAAATGAAATAGCCAAAAAAATTTCATTACAAGACTGAAGACTTTAACTTAACAGTAAATAATTTAAAAGCTAATATAAGACTAAGTTTGTACAAAGAACAAAAAATAAAAAGTTGACAGCACAGCCTAAAATCCATGTTTTGATGTAAGCACATTCTTTAAACTTATTATTCATAGTAAACCGTATAACATGACAACTCGGCCAGCTACTTTTTCCGTCAACTAACTTCATGTGAAAGCTTACGAACATTACACCGAAAGGCAGATATGAATTTTTGTTCTAGGAACCCACAACTCATCAGTTGCTGTGAAAGGCCTAATTTTCTTCAAGAAAGCAAAATTTTTCTTCAACAGTGGCGTTGTCTACGGCGAAAAAAACGATATAAAACTGGCGAAATACAATTTTGAGGAGATTCAGCGCCCTGTCGAGGAGTTTCATAAAGTCTTCAATGATGCTCAGAAAGTTTCCTCTGTTTCATCCAAAGACCGGGAGCAGCTTGATGAAATTAAAGAGGAGGTCAGAATCTTAGAAGACGAGACGCTCACTGAGATGACTCAAGTCATTGGACGTTTGTCGCTTGCCGCTGCAAACGAGAAGCACGAAGAGGTCATGAAAAATCAAGAGACTCTAGATTTTGACTTGGTGTACTACGTGTATGATTTGTACCACCATGCTTTGTCACAAGTCCGTGATAAAGATGTTGAACTGGAGTCAGAAATTTTGAGCAGAATGGGGACCTATCAATTAAAGGTACTCAAAATGTCCAACAGTAGAAACAAGGCAAAAGAGTACTTCAAAATGTGCATCGAACTGGCGTTATCATTGCATCCCAAAAATGTTACTACCGAAAATTGGTACAAAGAAGCTGAGGATAACTTGCGCGACCTCCAAAAAGATGTCCTGAAAAGTGAGCATGAAAAAGACAGCGAGGAAAAAAAGAAGTATGCAAAAGAATTATTGGAGGTTTCAGAGTTCCTCGATTATTGTAGGTCAACTGCCTGTTACCAACTGAAGAGAGAAGTTCTAGCAATCATTACGAAGTATCCACCGAAAGTGAAGGGATTTAACGCGGAGAAGTTTGAGGCATTGGATGAGCAAGACTCTAAAAAAGTAAGTTGAAAACGTAAATAATAAAACGTTGAATCGCTGCTTAAAGACCGTTTTTATCACTCACAAAGGTTGAATTTGAGATTTTCAAGAACCAAACGTACATTTACTACCTTTATTTTTTGTCTTGTAAGTCAGGCAAGAATAGTTAGTGGAACTGAGAAATAATTGATGTTAGTTTATTTCTGATATAATAACGGAATAATTTTTAACCCAGAACAGCTTTTTTTCCTAATTATATATAATCATCAAAATCAAGGGTCATTTATTTATCTTAGCGTAATGACAATTTAATTGAAACAAATAAGTATTATGGGGATACCTTAAATGGAATTTTTGAACATGAGGCGTGAAAAACTTGGCAAACAAAAATTGGTTCAGCGGGTAATTTGACCTAAAAAAGATTTTGATCTATAGTTTATTATGACTTTTCCTTACAAAACTGGAGTATGCTAAAAAAAGAAAAAAAATGAACTTTTTGAGAAATCATTATTGCTTGCGTCGTAATCAATTACGACGTTTCTTGAAATTTTCTTGAAGTAAACAAGACTGCTCGTACATCAGGGCAAAGGCCTGAAGGTTCTGACTGCCCCTTATTCATAAAGAATAATTTTTGGGAAAAAAACATTGAAAACCTGTAAATTTGGACAAAAGCAAAGTGTAAAATTTGGAGTCGTTAGAAATTTATGTGATCAATTAGCTAGCCTCAATTCTCTTTGGAACGATTTTGTTGTGCGCGATAAAATGTCACGCATAAATAACTCGGTTACGCTCTCAGCAACATGAATATTTTTTTTTCAAAGCGCACATAATTTCGTCCAGAACATGGCAAATTTGGCAATTTCCAAACCACCAGAACTTTACAAAAACAATCGGAGGTAAAATAGCTTTCTTCATTTGAACTCAAGAAGTCGATTTCTTCAATGGGCTATAAAAAGTTTTAATTGAAAACTATTATTTCGATCGGCGGCAATTGACCGAATAAAAAAACACACCGAGCATAAATATTCCGTTTTCTTCGAAAGTCGGATTAACAATTTCATCGCATCTCTGAAGTAAGCGTATATAAATAACCAAGACTACCAGTTTGCCAAGGGCAAACTCTGATTGTTGAATGTTTAAAATGCCCCTTAACTCTCCCCGAAAGGAACTATGACATTTGGAGTGCAAAAATGTCAAATTTTTAGACTAAGTTTTCATTCGTTCACGGAATTATTACAAAAGTTTAGTTTGCTTTGATTTAATTGGAAAACATTATGATAGCGGGACAATTCGCCAGGCATAAATAAGTTGAATTTAAGCCAGATGTAGCTTTTTCATAGAGTAATTTCAGATAAAGCACACCGTCTCTTCGTCAAGCTATCTTATTTTCCGCCGGATAGATTCGTGCAACTTCTTAGTCTAATACCAATCTCAATCTTGCTATTATATATCCTAGTCTCAATAGATCTAGTGCATACTGGTATTGGTGAGTTAGGTTTATGGAACTTGTCCAAAGGAGAACAACTGTCTTCTAAGATTTATTCAAATTGTTCTGGTGCTGAAACTACAAGAAGTTTCAACACTACAAATAATTGTCAGTCTTATTCATGGAATAAGATTGATTAGTTAGTAATATTTTATAGGATTCATTTTATCAATAATATAATTTGTTGTAAATACTAGTTTAGAACTGGTTCCACCCATCCGGGGTTCAGAATATTTTTAGTTTATGAATTTTCTTTTGTAGTGAGGAACGGTGAGTTTCCTTTTGAGTGGTTAGAGCAGTGACTTCGTGATGGAAGGAGAGATGTAGTTGTTTTTGTAGAGAAAAGAAGGTTAGTTGTTCGTGTTTCAGAAGTGTGTCTCATTTGATCGCGGGTCGACTTGAGTGATTAGGTCAAGATTCTAGATCGACACAACGATGTGTCAATTTCTTTAAACTTAGGGTGATACTACATGCAACATCAAGTTTGACCTTTCTGTGTGAAGTGGCAGTGACTAGGATTGGTATCGAGTTGGCCATCGATCTTTTCAATGGTTTCAAAAGCTGCGATGTTAAATCCATACTTTAAATCCTGCGTGGGTTGTGACTACGGCAACGAACCAATAGATTTGCCATTCCAAACTTGAAATGTCATCGAGTTTTCAGGTCTCTTGCTGATCGTTCGGTGTGCTCTGAGATATCTTTTACATTGCATTTTTATATCTACATCTTGTTATTGAGATCGATTTTAGTTAGGATTTTCTATTAGATATTTTCCCAAAAGCGTCGTTCACTTAGATCAACTCTCGTCAAAAATAGAGTGTGGGTCATGAGGCTGGTTGTAGCGCGGTGGTTTAGACAGGCTATAGAGCATGCTCAGGACGTCCTACTGAGTGGTGAGGTCAGTGAGGGAGTATAATTTTACCGTCTCGTTGGTCAGAGTCTCCTATTGTGTTCAACTTTTTGATCTAATCTGTGTCTTTCTCTCAAAAGTAGATTATTGTGAATTTGGGTTCTTCTTTTGACATTTTTTTGTTTTATTTGGTTTCAATAACACTTGAAAGTAGGTTTCAGAACAATAATTTTTTCAGTTTTAATCTAGATTTTAACCGTTTTGGGTACCATGGGACTTTCTTATACTTGCTGTTGGTTTTGTGGCGGTAGGCTGCGTTAGTTAGTTTAATCTTACTCATATAAATCCTTCCAACCAGGTTAAAGGAAAATTAAAACGCGTTAAAACAAGTTTAAAATGTTATCAGTGAGATTTAAAATTTGAAAATCGTTTTTAAAACATTTCTACGAGGGCGAGTTGTGCGAGTTTGGTGGAATGAGTGTGAATTTTGGGTAAGTCAAGAGGTCATTTAAAGTTTACAAAAGAAAATCACAAAAAAAGTACCTTAATTTCAAATTTATTTATTTTGTTTTTTTTTCCTTGAGCTTTTAATTTGGTTTCTGTTCCTTTAGCTGAATGACTGATGAAACTCAAACAGAAGTGAGAGATACATAAAGAATAGTAAGTGTTTTGCTTTAATTGTTATTTAAATAATTATATTCATACTTACAAAGGTCCTTCATCAGGGAAAAACTCATAGGGTAAGTTAATTCGAATTGTGTCTGAAATTACAATTAGTATCGCAAGCATGCTGATTATGTTTTTAGTTTGAGCAGAGGCCATAGAAACTCCAGAAGCAGAGCCAGAGAATCTTTACTTCTTTGGTTTGTAGTCAGAACTCAAGATTTGTGTTCCGAATTGAGTTAAAATTTTATGATTGAAATTAGTGCTGTGATGAATATATTCTAGTATGGTGACTTCAATGGGCTATATATATATGTTGGAGAATACTTAGTGGGGGATCCTCATCAATGGATCAATGGGGCAGGAATTGGTTAGTTGGCAGAATACAAACGTCTTTCTAACGTGATCATAATTACAGAGGATGTCGTGGAAATTAGTTGACTTTATGCACTAAATGAAGTTTAAGAAAACTGGTGAAGTATATTTTGAATTTATGAACAAAAATCGATGTTGTGGATTACGTGTTGCTATGTTAGTTGTGTAGTGTTATTGTATAAACATATAATACTGTATGTGTGTGTTATTTTTGTTCGTAACATGATTTCATGATAGCAGTGTAGTTCGCTTTCCTTGGTTGTAAGGAAGTGTAATGTAACTAAAAACAATTAAATTTGTTAAAGTATGATTCGTATGCTTTGGTGTTTGTTAATGCGGTAGCAAAAAAATTATCGAAGTTTACTTAGTACTATCTATGTGAAAGACATGCGAAGAAAAATTGATTAGTGGAAAAGAGGTGAGGTCTGAAAAAGAAATACGGGAGGATTGGCGTTGGAAGTTAGATGGATAGGAAAGGGAACAATGGACGGATCCACTCTGTCAGCTCATTGTGTGCCAAAAATGGTTGTTTTGAGAGCAAGAATTTTTTGTGTGTCGTTGTTCTACACTTTGCTGACATGTGTAGTCGATGTTTGACTACTGGTGTGCGCTATAAGATACTGGGATTCAAGATAAGCTATTACCATGAGAGGTATGTTCCGTGATTGCTAGTGTTTCTATAATTTCTTGGGACTAAAGACTAATCGTGATTATGTTGTAGACTGGATAAAGGAGGTGGTGCTGTAGGAGTTGAAATTATATTGTGTTGTGGATTGTCATATGCATTTGGTGTAGTAGATAGTTTGTTTTGTGGTTTTCGCTAACTTGAGCGTCAAGGAGAATTTTCTTAATTGAAAATGAAAACATTCCAAAAATCCTGCAAAAAACTGTGTGCTTCTTTTGCGTGTTTATTTACTTGTGTATGTATTGCACGAGTGTTTTAGATACCTTTTGAAACGGAGAAGAGAAATCCAAAAAAATGGCGTATAAAAATCTCAGTTTTTCTAATATACAGTAGGACCATTCTAGAAAAACTAGGAGTTAATTTTTAGATAGACAAAACTGAAGATAATAATTGGAGAAAAATTTTGTGGTCGGCATTTTTCACCGTTAAGATATATGTAATCTCTAATACTTTTAAAGTATCCGCTGTAACCTTGTGTCTAAATATCTGAGAAGACTGCTGTTCCAGCGAGTTTTTGTAACTTTTGGTCAATTGACTGTCTTTGTATTGTTTTCATTTTTGTGAGAAGTTTTTGTGATTGTTGTGTTCTAATGTGGTGTTGTATATCTGATCTAGAACAAATACGATAATAGTTCTGAGTCTATGTTAGGGTTGCGAGGTATAGCGCGAATGCTTCCGAGTGAACATTTCTTTAATGGTGGAATTAGTGCAGCGTATAAGCTAAGATGATAATAATTTTTTTTCGTTTGTGTTAAGCTGTGCTACATTGTGACTCAAATTCATGTGACGCAGCTGTATCCCAAAAATGTGTGCGTCGTGACAGTGTATCTACAAAATATAAACTTATTTTAATAGAGTATAGGTAATCGTTTGTAACATTTCTTATCTTCAAAAACATATAGTGGTTCAACTTTTCTAGTGCATCTATAATACGAAAGGATCATTACTTCGTAATCAATGGA